GCGGGGGAGATGGTTTGGAATGCTATATCGCCTAGAATTGGACAAGGGTGGACTGGTTTAGAAAACAAATTTTTTAAAAATCTAATAAGAAGACATATTATGTGAGAGGGTTGGGTAAAGGAGAGAGCCCCTACTGAAATTTGAGTGATAGCATTTCCCCTGCGTCTTGAGCTGGCAGTTTTATGGAAGAAACCTGCATTCCTATCCTCTTCTATAAGCGACTTATCCTAGACCTTTGATACTAATAAGTTTCTTCCTGCTCAAGGGTCTAAGAAAGGGTGACCTTTGCTTGGATCCTTTGTTCCCTTTCCTGAGGGGTAACAGTTCGGGATTACTCAAGGAGATCTAAATCTTAGATTAAGGAATTTAGGTTTCTAATTGGGACTCTAAAGTTGGAAGGAAGCTGACGACTCCATTGTTTTCGAGCGGCATTGAGAATTTGGAGCTTTCTGGACAATCTAATACCTTGCCCTCCTAGAGATAATAGTAGATGTCCAGATAGAATGGAAGAGGGGGAAAAAGGATGGATCAACCATCCAAAAAACTTCGAACCTAAAAGGTTTATTAAAACATTGTGTGGGGGTCGTATCTAAAATAATGGGCTTGTGATCAGAGGTGGTCTTAGGAAGGGCTATAGAGCAAGTACCTGGGAAGGAATCTTCCCAAAGGTGGTTCACCAGGAAGCGATCAATCTTAGTTATAATTGGATTTTCTGCATAGTTAGACCATGTGAAAGAATCCCCTGATAAAGGGATATCAATGAGAGGGATGCTCTCAATGAAATCCGAAAAGCCACTCATGGATGCATTGAGAGGACCACCCGTCGACTTTGCTGAAGGCCACCTAACTGTGTTGAAATCTCCTCCCAACAACCAGGGTAGGTAGGGGAAGGGCCTGGGATGAGAGCTCCTGCCAAAATGAAGGTCTAAGAGAGGGTTGTTGGGGCCATATACAAAAATAGACACAAAGGTAAAACCATCCGAGATTCGACTGAAAGAAAGAGAGACTGAGTGATCCTTGATTTGTGGCAATGAACCCTGAAGAATGGTTTGGTTCCAGATTACCCAGATTCCCCCCGAGGCTTCCTGAGATTCTTTAGCTACCCAGAGCAAGGGAGATGTCCCCATATTTCTCTTATTAAAGGGAGGTCAAGGGAAGGGAGTTTAGTCTCAAACAAAGCTACAATGGTGGGGAAGTGGGAGTAAACTAGCGATCGGACAACACATCTCTTGGCGTGGCTGTCGAGCCCTCTGATATTCCAGCAGAGGATCCTCATCTAGGGGAGTTGGGGTGGAGAGAGTGTCTCCTTGCGGATCTCCTCTTAGTAGGGCTGACCAGAAGGATGGCGGATAAGGAAATCAGTCGCGTTGATGTCATAGGGGTGTCATAGTTCACCTCTGAATGAAGCTTGACCAGCATGTGTGAACCTCTTAAATTTTTTGGTGAAGAATTTAACTGGCATGTGGCTGCTTGTCCCCTAAGATGGTCCGACAACTGAGCTACATCTCCTGGGAAAGCCAGTCCAAAATTTTAAATTTTCAGTTATTCAAAAGCCGAAATTGGCCCCGGTTGTTGAACAACCGAAAACACTTTGAATTCGGTTGTTCAACAACCGAAAAAGTGTAAAGTCGTATGTTTTTAAAATTTACGTTTTGACATGAAAAAAACGAACACGGTGGTAATAATGGAAACTATTCGGTAGAGCCATAATAATGGAAACTAAAATTTGCATGCGATAGAAACCTGGAATATCGTTTTCTTGAAAATATAAATTTTAGATATTTTCCCTCTCTGAAAATTTTAGGTACTCTCTCCCTAAAATTTGATATAGTTTTTCGCTCAAATTTTGGGATACTCTCTCTCAAACTTAAAATCCGATATAGTTTTTCTTTATAAAAATTTTGAGATAGTTTCCCTCTAAAAAATTTTTGGTAGTTTCTCTCTAAAATATAATTTAGTTTCTCTATCTAAAATTTTAAAGTATTTTCTACATCTAAACCTTTAAATTTGAGATAGTTTTTTAAAAAAATTTGAGATAGTTTCTCTCTTTTAAGAAATTTTAGGTACTTTCTCACTCTAAAATTTGATATAGTTGCTCTCTCTAAAATTTTAAGATTTTTTTCTCTCTAAAACTTAAATTTGGAAATAGTTTCTCTCTAAAATTTTCGGGTGGTTTCTTTCTTCAAAGTTTTAATATACTTTCTCTCTCTAAAACTTAAAATTTGAGATAGTTTATCTATAGAAAATATTGAAATAGTTTCTCTCTCTAAAAATTTCAAGTACTTTTTCTATCTAAAATTTGATATAGTTTCTCGTTCTAAAGTTTTAAGATATTTTCTCTCTCTAAAGCTTAAAATTGGAGATAGTTTCTCTATCTAAAAATTTTTAGGTAATTTCTCTATCTAAAATTTGATATAGTTTCTATCTCTAAAATTTTAATAAATTCTATTTTAAAACTTAAAATTTGAGATAGTTTCTCTCTTTAAAAATTTTGAGATATTAATCTCTTAAAAAATTTAAGTAGTTCTTCTCGCTAAATTTTAATGTAATTTCTCTCTTTCAAATTTTAAGATATTTTCTCTCTCTAAAACTCACAAATTTATATAGTTCTTCTCTCTAAAAGTTTTAAGATATTTCTCTCTAAAAATATTTTAAGTAATCCCTCTCTCTAAAATTTAGGGCCTGTTTGATAACTAGAAGTAAGTTCATGAACTGTAAATTGGAAGTTCTTAAGTTCATGAACTTAAGAAGTTCCTGGTTTCTGTGTTTGATAACCTCTCTGGAAAGTTAAGAAGTTTCTGGTTTCTGGTTTCTTTGTTTAATCACCTCTTGGGAAGTTAAGAAGTCCCTGGTTTCTGTGTTTGATAACCTCCTGAGAAGTTAAAGAAGAACTGAGTATCTGTATTGGATTAGAGAAAAGACTAATTTTCATCCCATTGGCAAGAGTTACATTTTTCATATGCCCGCCACTAACACCACATGATAAAAATGCATTTTGGTTTCCAAACCGGCCTATAGTCCTTACCAAAAGAAACATCATGGGGGCAGATATCATCTTGAAGTTTTCCAAAAGCAGTGGCAGTCATGTAATTTTTATAAAGTGTATATCATCTTGAAGTTTCCTAAATCAGTGGCAGTCATGTAAATTATATAAAATAGGTTTTATTTTCTGTTTCTTTTTTTGCAAAGAACAGATGCACATAGTTTCCATCTATAGACTTCCACAGGAATAACAAGTCATAACCTGTAATAACTTGAGCACTACTTAAATTAGTCTAGATCTTCATGAACCTACCTAAGTGTGACTCGATAGTGGCAAAATGACAATTTGAAATTTCAAAGGGTTCAAGACACAGTGGTCACGCATTAACATTCGGATTCAAGTAACTTATGCAGAAAAATAATAAAAATTCAATCAATTGCAAAATACTTGTTATCACAAAGAATCATATTTGGTTCTGAAAGGTCAAATTTTGCCGGATCACAACCACTATTATAAAACCCTCAGTCCGGATTCAAATGTAGCAACATCACACATTCTTGTATTTGGAACTCAAATATCAACACTTGAATAAGATTCCATAACATTCAATGATTTACAACTATCCAATTACTCAATTCATAATTCTTCCAACTTACTAAATCAGCAGCGAAGGTGACAACCAAAAATTGAAGAATTTTCATCCAAATGAGACCATCTGTTAGTAGATATTGATTCACTAGTCTTCTAGGCTACTAAAAGTGTTACTAGTCCAAATAACTGTAAATTGGTATCGTGGATGATGGATGCTAAGGTTGAGCAAAAAAGCTTACAAATTTTGCAGAGCCTTTTGTTCCTTGGTCCAAAATTGGAATGAAATTTACAATAGTAGATCAACATTTTTATTTTTTGCTTCTAGACGAGTTTTTAACATAGTGTCGAAACAATCAACAGTCTTTAGTCATATTACAATTCAAGTATTTATCCAATCTTGAAACCAAAATCACAGGCTAAATATTATGTTAATTTTATGTGTAAGACAGTCTAAAGAATTAGCCAACCCCAAATACTTGGGAAAAGGCTCTCACGATGATGTTGAGTACAGTCTCACGAGTAACGACTAAAAAGAGTTCAAGATGAAATTTCAGAATTTTTTTCCATAGTTCTGGCAAGTCTAGAATTCAATATGTTACATAAATTATGACTGAAATTGAATCAAATTCCTTTTGAGATAAACAAAACACTCAATTTCAGTATGAGAAATTATAATGCAATAATGAAGAATCAGTGTAAAACCACTAGAATCATGGATTAAACATGAGTACATGAAACTAAGAACTAATATCACAACAAGGAGAGCTATTCCACCACAAATAGAGAAAAAAAAAAAAGCAGAGATATAGCATAAGCTGAGAAACAAGCCTAAATTTCGCGTAATGACTCGAACAAACCCATATAAAACCCTAGAGATTTCCAATGTTTAAGCTCAGATAAAAGCTTGAAAATCAATTACTTGATCAGAGAGAATCTCAGAAAGCCCTAGAAATGGTTAGGGAGAAGCCCTAGAAATGGTTAGGGAGAAGCCCTAGAAATAGTTTTGGTTTTCATGTTAAGGTTTAGGAGATCCAAGCGCAATCCAAGTTTTCGAGAGACGAAATTTACAGGAGTAGGCTCTTTGGTACCGGTTAAAATTATGATTTTGTAAAAAAACCCACTCCATTTTAGCCTCTTTTTTTTTTTTTTTGTTAAAAAGGAAAGGAGAAGGGAGCTGTAAAAATAGTTCTCAACTTCTCATTCTCACAAATTCAAAAGAAATAGGTATGTGTGTGTGATCAGAGCTCAATGAAGTTTTTGATGCACTTTCGTACTCTGATCAGAGCTCTGAGATTCAAACAAAAAAACGAAAATCAGAGTTCCTAGATCTGAACATAAAAATCAGAGCTCAAAGATCAAGCAACCCTAAACTCGAAGAAGAGATAAAGAGAAAAAGATTACGAAAATCTCAGAGTCAATAGCATACCTCAGTGGCTAAACTCGTAGAACAGAGGGACGTGGTGCAAAGAGGATGCTCGACGATGGGCGCTCGCGAAGGGGTACTGCGGCTGGGTTATCGAAGTAGGACTTCCTTGTTTGAGTTCCGACCCAAAGGTCGGAACTGTTTTTAAACGGGAGATGGGAAGATGGAAACTTCTTACATGAAGTTCTTTTATTTTATCAAACAAGGAAGTCTGTACTGATAACTTCTCTCTCTAAAATTCTAATATACATTATCCCTCTAAAAACTTAAATATTTGAGAGAGTATGACGCTAAAATTTGATATAGTTTCTCTCATTAAAATTTGATATAGTTTTTTTCTCTAAAATTTTGATATTGATATATGAAAAAATAGGTCGTTTTTTTGAAATGTCAATTCCACATTTTGAAAATGAGATTTCCAAAATTTAGACTTCAAATAACCATTTAAGAATCCTACAAAAATCTCAATTCTAATGGAAATGTCAACTTTAAGCGAACAAAACACGATTGCTCAGGCCTTTGTCAAGAAAAGTGACTTCCAAAAATTTAAATCTAACGGCCCTAAAGGAAACCTTTTCCAAAGGGGTGACATGTATACCAAGGGCGAAAGTTGGGCACTTTCACCCTACACACTGTTAACAAATGCCACCTTATGGTTGGTAATCTACTTCAGTTTGACTTTTAAAAAAGGGTGCAATTTGTACGAAGGCGAGGCTCCTAACAATTATAGTAAAGCACACCTTTAAATACTATCAAGATATGTGGTTTTAATACTTGAAATCTTTGTGATAGCCTTAAAATATATTTTCATCTTTAATTATGAAATTTAAAGCTTGAAAACTTTGATATAGTTTTACTCTCTAAATAGTATCAAGAAATATGGTTTCAATACTTGAACTCTTTGTGATAACCTTAAAATATATTTTCATCTTTAATTATGAAATTCAAAGCTTGAAAAATTTCTGACTCTAAAATTTGATATAGTTTCCTTCTCTAAAATTTTAATATTGGTTCCGAAAAAAATAGGTGTTTTCATGAAATGTTAATTCCACCTATTTTACTGAAAAGAGATTTCCAAAATTTAGGCATAAAATAATCATTCAGAAATCCTACGAAAATCTTAAAATAGTCATTCTAATGAAAATGTCAACTTTAAGTGAACCAAACACGATTGCCCAGGCCTTTTCCCAGAAAAGTGACTCCTAGAAATTTAAATCTAAAAAAACCAAACCGGCCTAAGGGAAACCTTTTTTAAAGGGGTGAAATGTACACCAAGCCTATACACCGTTAACAAATGCCATCTTATGGTTGGTAATCTACTTCGGTTTGGCTTGTAAAAAAGGGTGCAGTTTGCATAAAGGTGAGGCTCGTGACAGTCATAGTAAGGCACACTTTTAAATAATATCGAGAAATATGATTTCAATACTCGAATTCTTTGTGATAGCCTTAAAATATATTTTCATCTTTAATTATGAAATTTAAAGTTTGAAAAATACTATAGATCTAGCAGATCTATGAAAACTTGAAAATCTTGAAAACTGACGATTCAAAAATACAGTACAAGATGCACTATTTCCAAAACTTGAAATTCTTTTTTTTCCCATATCTATGTATCTTGATGTTGAGATGATCAATTTGAAGATATTTGGACATCAAAACAACCTCTTTAGTGAAAATTTTTAGTGGGCAGCCTTACTCTATATAAACTTTGTCCTTAAAAAAAGACATAGGGCATAGGACACAAACTATGGCATGAGGGCCCCTTAGGGCTAGCACCAATTTGATGCGACATAGTATCAGTCTAATTCGGCCCTACTCAACTTTCTTTCTTTTGATTCATTTAGTTTTGGACCCGGTTTCTATGTGGGCAGGCCCGCATATGTAGAAATGCGGGCCTATTAATAAATCTATTTTTGAGATGGATGTTTTGACTTAATTTTTAAAGACATAATATCTAACATAGAGATCATGAATATGAAAAAATAAGTAATTTTTAAAGAGCAATGATCCAATGCAACGGTTGTATCATAGTATAATGCAAAACCATGTTTGTGGTATTTGTATGACCTCAAATTTTTCACGCACTCTCTCTTCGTCTCAATAATCATTCCCCCAAAAAGCAAAAGTTCAATTTGAACCCTAGATATAGTCAAAATGAGTCCCCTGCAAAAACTAATCTAGACCATTCATTTTGTGAATTTCAAGATCTTAGCCTTTAGATACTCAAAATCATTTTTTTTTCTTTTTTAACAGTTCATCTAATGATAATGAAGCCATCCAAAAAAATTGGAAATGAAAAAATCATTCTAAGGTTTAGATCTAAGCATCTCACCAAAATGAACGGATATGTTAATTGGACTAAAAAAATATTTTCTAGGTTGTGTTTTCAATTTTTTCTTTTTTGTGATTATTCATTAGAATGAAAAAGAGTGTATATTTCAAATTTTGGATCAAACAAATGCCCATAAGATGGTTTTTTAAGGTTATTGCATCATATTACTATACAACGGTTGCATAAAATCATACCTTAATTTCAAAAACTAGAAATAATAATTCTAATAAGAAAATATTTGGATTGCTAGTTTCTATTGTTTTTAGATGAAACATCATCTTTAAGATAGATGATTTACGCTATTTGAACCGCACATATTAAACATATATTTGTTATTTTTTGGGTGAGGTTTGTATAAGGTTGCCTCTTTATACCGCACAAGTAAGGCGCACCTACGGAGAGATGTTTTTTTGGCGTCAAAAACCTTTGATAGCTTCAAAATCTTTTTTTATCGTCAGTTATAAATTTTAAAACTTGAAAAATGGTACAGATCGAGTAGATCAATAAACACTTGAAAATTTTGAAAATAAACGGTCCAGATAACTTGTTATAAGATGCATTATATTTTGGACTTGAAATTTTTATTAATTTTTCATATCCATTTATGTCAAGGTCAAGATGATAAATTGGAGGGCTTTCTTATGCCAAAACACTCTCCACTACAGGATTTTTGATGTGTACCTTACTTCAACAGTATAAGGTTAAAACCAATGGTTTAAAAACTGGATCGGTGACCCAGATCGGGCTTTTCAAAAACCGATCCGGATCGGCGAATCGGCGATCCGGATCGGCGAATCGGCCGATCCGGATCGGCGAATCGGCGATCCCGATCGGAATCGGGTGAATCGGTCAGAATAAA